GAACGTCGCACAAGGTTACACAAAGGGAAGGACGTTCGTTTAGTAAAGATAGTGTGGGACGCTAAGATGAGTGACTCACTGGAAGTAGAGAGTGCGATGAGAGACTTGTATCACACCTATTCACGGGTAAGTTTTAATTTTCGAGGACGAAAATTGGAGTTAGGGAGAATGTGAGACCCTGAAAATTACTCGTAAATTACCTGTCACATCACCATTATGCACCCCTCAACCATGTTATCTACTTTAAAACCATTTCCAATCTGATAAACTCTTGACATACAATGAAACCGCGCCCATCATTCTCTGAAAACGCACATGGCTTCACATGCACACACGCCACGTGTTGCAGAAGAAGCTTCAGTTCAGATTTAGTGGGCAGTGTCAGCGGGGTACGTTCGCAAAAAGACGTGAATTTCACAAACTGGATTTCCTAGAATTCTCTCTCTTAACCTGCACCACTCATCCTCTTCCTCAGAACTCAAACCTTCATCTTCTCCAACCTCTCTCTAGAAACCCTAAAAATTCTCTCTCTGTTACTCCAGTATCTCTTCTCCGTTTAACATTCAGAACCGTAGGAACGTTCCTTAGCCGTGAACTTCATTTGGTCCGAACAACTTCAGATTCTTGTGACGGTAGATTTCCAACTCATAAGCTCGTTTTTCTGGAATTCCTTGAACCCAGATTCAGTTAATGCCAGGGCTAAGTTGATATCGTTTACGTTTCTTTGGTAGACTTAGTTGAAGAGATAAGAAAGATCTGGAGGGTAGAAAACCATAAGTTGGGCAGCAAGTGATACTTTAGAACGAACACTGCTATCCAGGTAAGGAAGCTTATATGTTTAATTTTCTGCATGTTGTATGATCTGAGGTATGTTGAAAATTTGAGTTGGTGTATGAACGTTCTGAATCTGATCTCTATTTCGGGTTGTTGAACTGTATGGTTGGTTTGATACGTATGAATGATGGATAATATTGTAATTGTATGAGTTATTAAATAGTTGATGTTGAATGTGAATTAATCTGGAAGTGAAAGTTAAAAGTTCTGCTTGACATCTTGAAGTATAAGTCTAGTTAAAAGGTTTGAAATCTGGAAATTTTTAAGTTTGAGAATCTGAAAACGCATCCCCTTTGAAATGACGTCGTCCATCGTACGGACTTAGACCTGTCGGTTCCCTTACAATACTTAGAATGAAATCTTTCATTTGGAAAGAATTCTGTCTCGAGAACGAGCGTCCCCATTGGATGTCTAGCGGTTGTTCACTCAGCGTGTTTATAATATTGAACTTTATAAATACGTAAGTCGGTTTAACGAGCGTTCGCATTATAGCGTTCCGGCCTCTGTCGACGTCGTGTTCGTAATAGCGTTCGCCTTAAGTCGACGTTCGTTTTCGATAGCGTTCGGCCTTAGGCGAACAGTCGACTAGTAGCATGCGGTCTGGAGCCGAAGCATTCATCTATAAAGCGCTCCGGTCTTATACAGAAGCGGGTTCGTCTTAAGCGCTACGGTCTGATGACCGAAGCGTACGTCAAAATAGCGTTGTTCCAACTTGCATTTATCTCATTTACGTTCGTTCACCTATGGCATAAGTTATTTAATTGGTCAACCAGGAGTTTAGTCGTCATCAGTACCTGTATTGGCCGTTCGTCCATATCCTTCTTCGAAAACGATGAACGGTTCGTCTGTTGTTTTGGTGATATTTAAGAAGCGTCTAAAGATAAGAGCAAGAGTGACTAGGTAGATGCTTATGCTTAAATCCCAGTTCCCGGAGGAAGGTATTGATATAATAAGTGATTTAGAATCAACGATTAAGGACAAGTTAAGGACCAGAAGAATAGCGTGTCCCAAGAGGTAGGAACAAGTCACTGAGAACCGAAAATGACATGCTGAACATATCGAGAATTGGTAAAAGTAGAATAGGTGGTATGAAGATAATGAAGGGCTTGGGCCCATCAAGGATAAAGATTGTGTAATTAATATCATTCAACGTCTAATCAATGGAGGAGAAAGTCTAGAGGACGTCCACCGTTTGGAACGTAGACAGTGGGGATAACACGGTTACAGTAGAGCGTCTTAGTCAATGTGTTGATAGATGGTCTTAGCCGAGGTTTCTATTCCCATTAGGGACATCAGGTACCTTTGGATAGGCTAACACTCGTAGTTAGTATGATGGCTTTTGAGGGAGAATATCACCATGAGACTCACACATGGGTGTGCGTCGAGCGTTCGTCTTTGATAGCGTTCGACCTTAAGTCGAGCGTTCGTTTTCGATAGCGTTCGGCCTTAAGTCGAGCGTTCGTCTTTGATAGCGTTCGGCCTTATGTCGAGCGTTCGTCCTTAAATGCGTTCGGCCTTATGTCGAGCGTTCGTCCTAAAATAGCGCTCGGTCTTATAACGAGTGTTCGTTCTAAATTGCGCAATGTCTCAGACAAAGCGTTCGTTCTAATTGAATAATCATTTGATAAAACAGCGTTCGTCCAAAGTATTAAATATTCAATTTTCTTTACGTTCGTTAAATTCCTGGCAGTGGTTTTCATATGCAAGTCTCTTCAAAAATAATTCTAAGTGTTCTTGATCCTCCATTGTGCATTAAATCTGGTGCGAGTTTTTATCCCAAATATTTTTCTAAGTACCAGTACACTTCAAAGTTGAGTCAGTTCATTTAATTGGTCAAACAGAAAGTTCGTTCGTTATATATTTTTACTGATTATCCAGTAACTTCATTTGGACGTTCGTCCTCACCCTTCATTGGACTGAACGTTCGTCATTTTTGACTCCTGAATCTAATGATGTAAAAGATGATGGAATATGGTAAATTAAAGTGTGAACACTATGAGAACTGAATTTATGATGTTGGATTTTGGACGAGCGTTCCAGGGAGGAACGTCTCATATATATATATATTGAAAGATTGAATTGGTAAAGTATGACTATGGTTAGCTAATGCTGGCTTGGTCCATCCTGATATTCCGTGATGCTCATCTTCACGTAGAAGGGAGTAGTCATGTGTGGGAATGGCAGGAGGTCTTTCGTATCCCTCACTTAGCAGGGGCGAAGGATTAACCTCGAGTGGCAGCTGTTGAGGGTATCCCAGTTACTACATCACTCGGGTGCAAGGACGCCTGTAGCTACATGGTTCATACAGTCCGGACAGTCGTCTATTATATACTTATAAATTACTACATGTTTAATTGTATGTTGTGCGTGTGCATTTAAAATGTTGAATGTATATGTTGGATGTATGAATTAAATATTATAAGCTTACCCTTTCGTTTTCATTGTGTTGTCAATTGTCCATGTACGTTCGTCCTGTCTTGTAATGATCATCCGTTGTGGATGTGAGCAGATGGTGGTACGTCCCTTGAAGAAATACTGGAAGAAGAAAATTTGGAAGAGGCGAATCTAGTTGGAGTAGAAGTGAAGGCCGAGCCTTAGAGCGCTCGATAGATTAGAATTATGAATTGTTAGCTTAGTTGGACGTTCGGCTAAATATTTTGTAAAGCCGTTCGTCCTAATTATCCCTGAATCCTATTTTTAGCGTACGTTATTTGTATCTAAAACCGTTTGTTATTTAGCGCTCGTTGTTTTGAGTTGTATATTGAAACTCTGCAACCTTAAGCCGTTTGGCTTTTGAACTTGGTTAATTGTAAAGACTGCTTATTTACTGTTAATTGTAATTAATTCTAAATTATGGTAATTACTATATTTTGGGATGTTACAACAAACAAGTTCAACAAAAAAAAAACAACAAACAAGTTCAACAAATAAGTTCTTCAAATCGAAAACGAAAACTATAACCTTCAAAAGGTGGGTTCGTTGAAATAAAGTGTTGCCACCAGTAAGAGAGAAAGCAGAATGCGCCTATGAAGGACAAGAAGACGAAAATAATCGGTCAAAACAAACGAAGATCATACATAAAGTAGTTAATTAACATGCATTTGTAACAAATGAAAGAAAGATTACATGTGATGGTCATCAAACTTTGTTCTAGAAAACTTTGAGTAAAGAAGAGGGTATCGCGCGCTAATATAAAATGAAAGAATTTTCAATCTCCTGCTCAAATTTTTATTGAATTCACCAACCTTTTAACATCTAACGCTGGTACATTCGACATTTTATATCCTTTTGACGTTTAATTTTAGGGAATTCGACGTCATACGTAAATACATTTTCACCTTCACGCCAAACATTTTCGCAAAATTTACTCAATATAATATATTGACGTCGAATTTCTAAACGACGTTTAATAATTGCATTTATTTACAAAAATGTCACTGGTTACTTTTAACGTTGACTATTCCGTGATTTGATGTTGAACCCATGACTTTATACACTGTTTTTGCACTAGTGAATTATAGATTACTCACTAGTGGAAAATACACTTTTTATAGCAACTTTTATACCTGTTAAAATCTATCAGGTATAGATAGTGAAGCGATCGCAATTTTGTAAATATGAGAAACTTTTTTACACCGATTATAATAAAAATAGGTATAAAAAATGATTTTATATCGGTTACAATAAAAATAGGTATAGAAAATCCTTTTTTTATACCTGATGACCTTAGAATAGGTATTGTACAGTATAAAATATGTTTTTCCGTTTGTGTGAAGAGAAGGATGTGGTGAACCTTCAACCGAGATGACGAAGAAGAACCCAACTTTCGTAATCTGATTTCAATCACCCACACATATGTCAATCACTTAATCTCATTCCACAAATTAAACAATCAACGTGACAGATACTTAAGATGGAAGCTGGCAGAAGACGTGACCTCGCTGATGTTTGACAGATCAACAAAAAATTGATGCCGTCCATTTTTAAGGACTAATATTACATGTTTGAATACTATGAGAACTAAAAGTCATCAAAGTTTTGAGTAGACACTAAAATCAAAATTCACTGTTACTTAAGACACGAAAAAACGAAAAACGTATTTAACCCTAATATTATTATCGATTATTTTTCGATTTCTTTTTCCGTCTGACAGCACCTTCTCTTCTTCTCTTGTCCAGATTCTTCTTCTCTAGTCCAGATTCTTTTTGGTTCTCCCTCCTTCTTCTCCTTCCTTCTTCTCCCTCCTTCTTCTCCCTCCTTCTTTCTGTGGTGGGTGAAACCTTGTTGTGGTGTGTCGTCGTCACGTGGTCTGCCGTGGGTGAATATATTTTTATAAATTAGGTTTATACTGATAATTAGGACTGTGTTGTGCTGTAAGTAATTAAGATTAGGGATGTATAAAGAACGAGGAGGTGTTGCCGTCACTGTTTCTGCTTCCAAGTAGGAGGATCGGAAGCGAATCAACGACGTTCTCGACAAGCACCTCGAACGATTCTCGCCCTCCACTTCTTGCCCAATCAACGCCACCTCCAAAAATTCCAACCTCTAAGGTACCTTTTCCTCTTTCACCTCTTCCGATTTGCTTCACCACATTCTTCTCTTCACACAAATGAGGCCACTGCTCGAAAACTCAATCAATGCCTAAGAGTAATGACCTAACATCATAATATTTCTTTCTAATTTCATCTGCATTGGGTGCAGCGGAGGAATCTGAAACGGAGAGTGAAGAGTCTGATGTTAGCGGTTCGGATGGAGCTGACACCTCTTGGATCTCTTGGTTCTGCAATCTTAGGGGAAACGAGTTCTTTTGCGAGGTCGATGATTAAGATATTGGGGTGAGATGAAGTACTTTTATGTATTGTCTCTGAATTTCATACACATTTCGGATTCCTTTAGTGGCTTTTGGTTTGGTCCCCCACTTTTGTTTTTATTTTTTCTATTAATTGTATAACAAATGCTTGAGGTTGTAGTGCTAACCTGGTTTGGATGGTAACCTGTATGGTGATGCAATAACATTCTTTCCTTTTGATTAAAAAAAATGCACTAGGATTTATTGGGCTTACATCCTGCACACTTACTCATATAAACTTATAAATGAAATTAACTTAACAGTGACATACGTGGTGTGGCTATTGATGGTGTCGAGGGAGAGAAAGTTAACCTCACTTAACCTGTTGCTGAGGCAATAGGAGCTGCTTTTGCTGCATGGTTAATGGAGAAGAAAAAAGCTGACTCTTCCCAGCATTTGAGAGTTTCTATTGGCCATGATACTCGAATATCAGCCAAATTATTACAGGTTAGATTGTTCTGTATAACATTTTTTTAACACCCACCTTTAAATAAAGTGATTGTTGATTGTGTTAAAACTTTGATGGTTATGAAACTAAATGTTTGTCCATTGTCAAATTTTAGAATGCAATTTCTCGAGGTCTCGCTGGTGCTGGCCTAGAATTTGTCCACTACGGGTGGGTGATATCAATTTTTTCTTGAAAAATATTTGCATTTTTTGTTTGCATGATAAAGTGTATTATTGGTTTTAAATCCCCAATTTCTGCAATTACTGTTCAAGCATATACCATACACTGATACTCTTGTTTGAAGATAATATAATCAGATTTGAGCATGCATATTCAGTTAATTTGATCAAACTATGCAGAAAGTTTTGGTTTGAAGCGTGTGATTGATGCGTGATTGATGTTTCTCCATATTTATTGGTACGTGTATTGATGCGTGATTGATGTTTCTAAAGCTTTTCTTTTTATTACTCTGTATTTCTGGGTGCTTTATGCATGTGATTTTACTCTTTGCTTTGTGTTCTGCAGACAAAGCGTGTGATGTCCTTGGATATAGCCCTGTTAATGGCTGGAGCAAAAGAAAGAGGAGAGCTAGAGGAACATGTTACAAAGTTGATAAAAGACGTAATAAAGTCAAGTGAATACTGTAATATAAAAGAATGTATAAGAGTTTGATGAACACGTGCTTGACGTGCTAGAAGAGGATTGTTTTAGCTCTCACTGATTATTCTCGAAATGCATGTGATTCATTCTCTTCATTGATGACGTTCATATACTTGTTCGGGCAGGAACAGTTGGGAGAGGAAATAAAGGATATGGCCTTGACATAGCAAATTTACTCAAACCTGCACTTGGAAGGGGTCGATTTCAGGTGATTATTAGTTAATTCTATTCTAAATTACTCCTGAAGATAAACACGTTTTCTGTTTGAGGGCTGGTGTAGTGTAAACAATTAACAATACGGTATAAGATTAAGGTTGGAGATCAAAGTATATGGTTAGTACTTACTACACATTTACAGGTGTCTGATACCACCCTTTCAAAGTATTTTTATTGAATAAGCTTATCAATTTACATTTGGAAACTGCAATTCAAGGTTGAGATTATTAAGAAAGACGTCTTGATGAAAATTTGGGAGGTTATCATTCAGTAAATTGTGGAGTCAAAAGGGTATATGTATAGATAATTTCTTTTATTAACAGGGCAACCTGTTATTTGAAATCAGGGACAAAGAACTTAATCTAATATATATATATATATATATATATATATATATATATATATATATCACAAAATATGTATAAAGAAAGAGAGTAAAGGAGAAAGAAGCATGAGAGAACAAAAATGTCACTCTGATAAACATAGATAGAAACAATACTGTTGTAAAAAGTGTGGCAAAACAATATAAATATAATTTTTTATGAAAAATTCTCATTAAAATTGTGGATATAAGTCATCTTTCTCCACGAAACATCAAAAGATTGATGAGCATTCCAATGCGATATGCACTCCTGGATTCAGTATCATTCAAAGTAAGCATTATTGGTCACTGCCATTGTTCTGATTTTGAGAGTTCATTCATATTTGTTCTCTTTCTAAATGCAAATTTTGTCCTTTGTTTCTGGCTTTTCCAATATGCCTTATTCTTGAATCTCCCCATGTTCCTTACTCATCTCTCACTATAGTTCATATTCCATTGAATCTTCATAGCTTTCCAGTTCTTTAGCAATTGGTTGCTCTTGGATTCTAATTCCATGACATCAATTTCCATGAAAAACAGACAAAGTAACAAATTGCAGCACTGAAAACCATGTGTCTGTCTAAACTTTGAAGCAACATATTGAACTGAAAGTTGAGGAGAACTGAAACAAGAGTGTACGTCTAAATTTTTTAACACCTGCCTATAATCTTGGTTGATAAAAGCTGTCATTTCTTGATTGTCTTCTTATGTAATTGATACTTGCCATTAAAACAAGTAGAAGACTATTATATTTAGAGAAATTATAAAGACAAAGTTCCTCCGTTTCTATTATATGGAAAGAGACAATGTCGGGATGAATACATAGTCTTATTCCACGTGTTAAAAGTATATTGGTAAAATTAGAACATAATTAAATATAATATAATTGTTAACTTTCTTTAACTTTTTATGAATGTTACGAATTAAAATATGATTAATAAACTTATAATGTTTTTTAAAATGAATATGTAAATTAACATAAAATAATAGGTTTTCCTTTATCCGAATCTAACAAATTTTGAATCATGTCAAAATAAATATCAAAATTTTAAATCCGTACCTTCTAGGCTACCTTTGGCCATTCTCAAAAATTTATTGGGATAAACTAAACCAGTCTCTGAGCTATCTTATTGCTTGTCAATGTATGAATGATATGACCTGTTTGACTTCAGAGAGACATCAACCAGTAATAAGGAATTACTAGCACCCGAAACTAGTGGAAAATGATGTGCATTGTTATATAAGTCTTACGTTACACGTAAGTATATTTCTTCAATGGATTTGTATGATAGATCTAAACTAAATTAAACCTAAATAGAATTATTATTATTATCAGGAAATACTTTTATTTGGGTTGTTTGTTTGATTAGTTAAAATTGTTTGAAAAATATTAAAGATTTGATATTTAGAGAGAAAATCAATTTATATTAAATATTTTTTTATTGAACTGTTTTGATAAAATTGAGTTAAATTTAGGATACATTATTTTAATGTGATATTTATAATCTATTTTAGTCAAGATTTGAATATATATATTGAATCATTTACTAATAGATTTTTTTTTAACTCATACTAGACGTTTAGGTGTGATGATGTGCCGAAAATTTCACATAATTAAACTTAAATTTTCCTATCTTAATAATGAGACAAATTATTTTACTCTGTCAGTGTCCTTCTTAGTTAATTTGATTTAAAATTTAATTCTATAAATTCAAAGAAATAGTGATATGACCTTAAAATTTATAGCCTTAACTGTTTTTAGAAAGTAACAAATATATGCAAGGAAGGATGTATTATTAACACGACTATTAAGCATAAACTAAATTTACCCAAGTTTTGATAATTGTATTTATATATCTTTACTGAAATAGTCAACATTTGATTCAATTTAATTAAATGTAACTTCATAAATGAGTAAAATTTATGTAATAATCTTACGCATACAAATATGAAATAAAAACTCGAACATCTTAAATATAAATTTGTATTTCAAAATATAAACACATACATTAACAAATTCGCGGTTTTGAAGATAAGATCTATATGCCTAAGCTTTTCCCAATATGAGAACCTTATATATCCACAGATCGAAGATAAGATCTATACCTAAGCTTTTCCCAATGTTGTTACCACTGTTTGTCTGTCTTATTATTCTCCCTGTGCTGTTCTTGTTCTTCATCCATAATCTAAGAACCTTCAAGAACACAACCAGCCCTCCAGGTCCTAAACGCCTTCCAATCATAGGAAACTTGCATCAGTTAGATAACTCCATTCTTTATCTGCAGTTATGGCAACTCTCAAAGAAATATGGACCTATATTTTCCCTTCAATTAGGGTTCAGACAAGCTATTGTAGTCTCCTCCCCTAAACTAGCAAAAGAGGTACTAAAAATCCATGACCTTCAGCTCAGTTCAAGACCTAAACTACATGGCCAGCAGAAACTCTCCTACAATGAGTCAGAGATTGCATTCTCCTCAAACACTGAAAATTGGAGAGAAATCAGAAAAATTTGTGTTGTTCATCTCTTTAGCTCCAAGCGTGTCTCTACCTTTTCGTACATAAGAAAGTTTGAGGTGAAGCAAATGATCAAAAAAATATCTGGGCATGCATCTTCTTCGGGTGTTACAAACTTGAGTGAACTGTTACTTTCTTTCTCAAGTACTGTGGTTTGTAGAATTGCTTTTGGGAGAAGGTACGAGGATGAAGGAAGTGAAAAGAGTAGGTTCCATGTGTTGCTGAATGAGCTTCAAGCCATGATGGGTACCTTCTTTGTTTCCGATTATATTCCATTGATGGGTTGGGTTGATAAACTCAGTGGATTGAACGCACGTCTTGAACGAAACTTCAATGAGTTCGATAGGTTCTACCAAGATGTGATTGATGAACACATGGATCCAAATAGAGAATATGCGGAAGAACAGGCTATGGTTGATTTGTTGCTTCAACTGAAGAATGATCGTTCGCTTCCAATTGATATCACTTTTGATCACATCAAAGGGGTTCTCATGGTATGGTCTATTAATTCCTATTTTCTATAATTTATTACCTTTTTAGCTAATTAATTAATACTCTATTTCTTATATATGAAAAAAAAAGAATTTTTCTAAATATCAACGCATTTTAATTAAGGAAAAGAAGATAGAACTCAAATCGATGAACTATTGCTGCAAAATTCATTTTGTATTGTTCGATATTAATTTCGTAAATTGATTGTCATGAATTTAGTTCTTCGTTACTGAATAAAATTGCAACAATACAAAATTAGAAGAATATGAAGAGACGACAAATACAAAGAGAAGGACAAAAACTAAAATTCTAAAATTGTTCAACTGATTATTGTGTATCTTGTGAGCAAAATAAGCCCTTAAACTAATTACATGCTTAATTATTAAGGCTCCATTTATTATCTATTATTATCTAATAACTACTACATTAAATTAGTGACTCTTTCATTTAAAAATAAACAAAATTCCTAAACAAATAAACAACTCATTTAATAATCCTTAACGATCGAGACTAGTACAAAATTAAATATAAGTAACAGTGGGTGATAAGGTTATCTGAGATGGTAAACATAACTAGGACTTATATTCGTGTAGTATGAGGAACAGGGGTAAAAGAGCATATATATGGCTTGGTTGGGTGAGGGTTCTTCACATGAGATGCTAAACCAGCGGAGGAAAAACCCAGTATAAGTATGCAGGAAAGACTGAATTCTAAAAATATGGAATGGCTATCTAATGCCCAACTTTTTATGCAGCAGATACAGGGTTGGCACATTCATTTTTTGTTGATATACTGAGGCACTTTGGGCTTATAGAATATGACAGAACTAGTCATAAGACGTGATATTTTTGTTAGTATTTTGAGGTTGTGAAAGGAGTAGTCATGGGATAGAGGAAATGTAGAGATAGTGAAATGTAGAGAAAATGTGGAGATGGTGAAATATGGAAGTAGTAGTTGGAAGAAGTGTTGTAGTTGTCTTTAGTTATAGTAGACAACATCCTTCACACAGATAATCAGAGAATGCAGATACTCAGAATTCATCCAAGCAATTCCAAAACATGGCAAAATAATCAATCAGCTCTAGAGGTGAATCCAAAAGCAATAGAACCTCAGAGATGCACTATTAGTGTTTCTCTTAAGTGTCTAGGGTAAACAATGTCAACTCAATGCACTCAAGAAAGCAAGCAACAAACAGACTTGGCAAGCCTCTAATATCAACACTCAAAACATATGAATGTTCAAATCAAAAGGTCTTTTATAGATGAAATGGGGCCAAGGACAAGGGAGGATAACATATGGATAAGTAGCTACAAACCAAAAAGAATAGAGGAGCAATGGGGAACAAGTGAAAATGCAATGAAATCACACCCAAAACCTCTAATTCAATCCTCTTGACTCCATTATTAAAAAAAAAATTATTTTTCTCATTTTTTCCTATTTTTTTCTTTTTCTTTTTTGTTTCATCTTGTCTCTTTTTCTTTTCTCTCTCTTTAGGACACAATTGTAAGAGACAAGATACACACATATTTACAAAACAACTAACAAGAGGAACCAACTGGCCAATTCATAAGAATCCCCAAGAAGACCACACTTTTCCTAAAACACTTCCAAATCTCCAAAATTTCCTAAGGTTAAGGTAATCATGGTTTTTCACTTAGGCTAGTGTATGAGCTTCAAAAGAAAGAAATGGGGAAAGTATAGGCACAGAAAGGGTTATCAAAGGATTAAAACAAGGGAGGCTTCTTTGGCTAGAGAGGTTCAAGAACAAAATTGCCTTTATCACTTCCAAACATGCATATCAATCAATAATCATAAAAAAGAGTCAAGCCAAGGGATATGTGCAAGCAATTAAGAGATACATCACACAAGAAATAACATAAAGTGGCTCAAATCTTACACAAGGTATTTGTCACAATCAAATCAACCTTTCAAACATCATAATCATCTTCCCAAGCAAAGAAAAACAAGGGATTTCAAACCAATAAGTATCAATCAAGTGAAGTGAAAGACGAGTCTACAACTTAAACAAAATCTAGAAATGAAGAGAATCATACAAAACTGTACACAAGGCAAGACAAAACCAACCTAAAATAGAAAAAATTTAGCAAAGAAAACAAAAACTAACAAAGAATAATCAAAATCTCCCCCAATAGACCACACTTAAACTACATAGTGTCCTCAATGTGTCATAAGCATAAGATCAGAAATCAGAACAATGAACAGATCATGTACAAGTGCAATAAAAGTAGGGAAAGGGGGAGAAGGGAAAAGAAAACCCCCCTGAGTCAGGGTGGCAGTTGCCAATTTTGGACTATCAGGGAGATGTCTTCCACCACAGGATCTAGCAAGGAAGTTTTGAGGAACGATTTCATCCGCCAGATTTGATCGAGCAGGGAAATGTCTTCCACAGCTGGATCTAAGAAGTGATTGTTGATGAGCGGGTTTTGTTAGTGCCTGTTGATACTCAAGCTTTTGTATATGTGAGCACCTTTGTCTTCCACTGTGGGTGTTTGTTGGTCAACTTCATGTGTACCTCCTGCAATAGGGTTAGTGCAATGTGGTTCCACAGAAATGACATTTAGGGGTATAACACCCAATCCCAGTGTAACAGGCTGAACATTAGGTATACTCTTAGAACATAAATCAATTTCAATTTTTTGAAGCAATATTAAGCACATGCTCAAATTCATGTTCAATGCATGATAAGAAGTATTCAGATAGGATGGCAAAAATTGTTTCTCATCATACAAAGAGTGGAAATGAAAAGCATGCTCATCAACAATATAATCATCAACATACCCCTCAACAGCATAATCATCAACAACATAATCAAATTGAGGTATGTTTACCTCCACTTCCTTAGAGATTGGTTGAGTGGTGGAAGATGAAGGTGGTCTACGTAGCTCAAAATTGCTGCTTATAACTGCTCGGTCCTCAAAATCTTCATTAGTCTCCTCAGATTCAAGAGTAGGGACATAGGACGGTGGGAAAGTAGGTGGCACAGTGAGCACATGACTCTGGTTCCCATCCCCTAGGTCAATGGCACTAACATCATCTGGAATCTGAACAGCTTGAAAATGTAATTTCTCTAAAACTTGAGACTGTTCCTTAGTGAGCTGAGTAGCCATATGCCCGTCCAGGATCGTTGTTATAACCATGCTGATCAAAATAATGTTGAGCAGGGAAGAATTCATCCAAGAATTGTCGCTTAAAATCTTCCCATAAATCGATAGATCCTAGAATAAGACCATAAAGCCAATCCCTTGTTGCTCCTTGTAATGAGTGCGGAAATTCCCTTAAGAACATGTGATCATTCGGGACATGTGGAGGTTTCATTGAAGAGCAAATGATGTGAAACTCCTCCAAATGTTTATGTGGGCATTCACCTACAAAACTGTGAAACTTAGGCAGCAAACGTATCAGTCCACTGTTGAGAACACAAAGAACATCATCCTTAATATATGGAACCGACTCCCAATGAGCACTCTCACGAGTAGGAAAATGATTCATATTGTCCTCAACATAGAAATCAGCATGAGAGCCATAATCAGAGTAACATGCAGAAGGAGAATCATAATTATAGGCACAGGCAGAAGAAGCAGTATGTTCATAATCAAAATAGGTAGACATGAAGAAAGAATGGGGAAAGGAAGAATGCAATGAAAATATGCTACTAAAGCTATCTAAATGCAACACACCTGACAACACACACAAAACAGAACAAAACACTCACAACACAAGACAAAACACAACACACTAACACAACAAAAGACCTAAGACCGAACCGTTGGTCCCCAGCAACGGCGCCAAAATTTGATGGGGCTGTCGCGGCCCATACAAATTTGATGTGCAAATAAGAATGAAGTATAGTACTAGGAAGTGACTCTTAGGTCGTCTCTCAAGGACCAAATGTGGTTCGAGAATTAGGTCAAACACGAAGTGGGGGAGGGGGGTTTGAAAGTGTTTTTTGCAAGGAAAATTAAACTAATTTAAAACTGGAAATTAAAGACAACCAAACATAATTAAAAGCAATGAAAGAAATATGTAAAACATAAATATCGTACGGTCCTACAGTTGGAAACTAAAGTTGACCGAACGGTCCTATAGATGACTGAACGGTCCTAACATGGAAACGAAAGCATGAATACCGAACAGTAAAAGTAAAACTAGACAATACAGGAAGGGCCGAACGGTTCTACATGGAGACCGAACGGTATGAATCTAAAACTAGCTCATGGAAATGAAAATGAACACTTGAAACAAGCCAAATGGTGTTAAGGTTGACCGAACGGTCTCTAACAACAAAGCAAGTTAGAGACCGAACGGTGCAAATCAAAGACCGAGCGGTATGCAGTAAAAGCAGAAATAGTAAACGTGAAAAATTCAAACGTAGTACAGCAGAAACGAAACTCAATCGTAAATTAGAAAATGAAATCAGATGGATTCAAAAGCTGAAAGCGTAAATTAAAAGCATAAACTAAATGGTTCAAAATCTGAATGTCAAAACGGGTATGGAAACGAAGTGCAACAGTAGAAGCATCAATAAACTCAAACTGAGATTGAAACAGCAAATGCAGCACAGCAGCGAAATGCAACCGTAAAAGTGAACAGTAAAAGTGAAACCAGAAATGCAGCACAACAACGAAATGTAACATTAAAAGTGAACAGTGAAACGCGAAACCAGAAATGCGGCACAATAGTGAAGATGATGATGAACAGTAAAACTGCGACTAGTAGAGACGAGAAAGAAAGTGAACAGTAAATGCAGGAACAAATTCAACTCTTAAATTGCAATGTAAAAGGAGTTTAATACATGAAAATGGAATGAAGGCAAAACCTAAACCTCCCCAAAGGGGAAGGAGGAAGAAAATGCTCCCCAAAGAACATAAACGTGAGTGGCGGCTCGGAGACCCTTGTGAAATCTGCTTTTACGATTTTATATTACCCAAATGACCAAAATGCCCTCCTCATGGGCTTGTCCTACAAAATGACCTAAAATTTGGCCCAAAGTCCTAAAGTTTGACCCAATGACATTCCAAAACGAAATTAAACTCTAACACTGACGTGGCCACCCTCTTGAAGTCCCAAAATGTGCTTCCAGCACTGCTGCTGAGTTCCTCTAGTTACTGCATGTGACCGATCGATCGTGAAAGGTTCACACCGTTCGGTCATTATTTTCAAGAGTGCTCAGCTGGTAGCTGACCGTTCGGTGAAGGCTTCTAGCAAGGCTTTCTTAGTTCATTCGGCAGTGACTTTGGCAGACTTCAGTCACGACTTCGTCAAACCGCTCGGTTTGTAGTGCTCGGCCATAAGTGCAAGCTTCCACAGACCGCTCGGTGCTCGGCCATCCAGTGCAGGCTTACAACAGGCCGTTCGGTCAGCTTCCAAGATCGTTCATTATTCATTCACGGACAATTCGGACAAGCCTTCAAAAGACCGTTCGGTCAAGGCTTCAGCAGACTTTACGGTTGGGCGAATTCTCTATCGTTTTGTACACTACTTCACAGACCGTTCGACCATCTTCAGCAGATCCTTTCTCAACCTTTCAAGAGTGACTGTCCTTCACAAAATGATTGAAATAGTTAAGCCCAAATAATTCAAATTAATTAAAATAAGAATTATTCTTAAAATTAAGCCCGAATAGTGAAAATGAGATAAAAATGGAGAATTAATCACACTTCACTAACACAATATGGTGCAAAAAGCTAAGTTAGTAGTAGAAAAGAATGACTCATCAGTAATAGAAGATGGATTTATAGTTTTGTTTAAGGTAGTTGAAAATTTTATCTACGTCAGTAGATGACCGAACGTAGCTCTAGTACCACTGTTAATATTTTAAGGTTGTGAAAGGAGTAGGTGATGGGATGGAGCAAATGTAGAGATAATGAAATTTGTAGAGAAAATGTGGAGAGTGTGAAATATGGAAGTAGTAGTTGGTAGAAGTGTTGTAGTTGTCTTTAGTAGATGTTATGCATCAAATGGTAGAGTACATGGGTATTTATAAACCCATATATTATTCTAGAACATACTAGTCATAATTTATGTGGAATGTTCTAGATTTTTACCTATGTAGAATATTCTTGATTTTTCGTCCTATCTTAGGCTTTTCTACAATATTCTAGAACTTGTATTACATTTCAATTCTTCTATCTAAGGAGCTTCTACATTTTTCTAGAATTTGCATTACACTTTAATAATTTTTAAGAGTCTATTTAAAATGTAATTGTGATCTGTTGGCATGTACCAGATATGGTATTTAGCAGTAAACTACTTTGATGCAGCTGCTACTTAGCAGTAAAATTGTGTGTGATTAAGAAACTGTATAGTTGTGCCTTCGTGGGTTTTGATTTTGGGGAGTAAGATACCAGTATTTGGTACTGATATATTGATAAACCAATATTTGCTATTGATATACTGATATACCAGTATTTGCTAAAGATAAAGCAAACAATATACCAGTATTTGCTACTGATAGGTAACGGTGAACTACTTTGGTTTGGTGCGTAGATGCTACCTAGCAGTACAAACTGTGTAATCGTACCTTAAGGTTATAGATTGTGGGATGTGACAGAGACATTGGTTAAGAGTGATTTGTAATGTCTTTTAAGGTATAACTTGTATCCTTTAAGTGAAAAACCTTTTCTTTGCTCAATGAAATACCTTTTCATTGTTGATAAAAAATTGAGGAGAGCCAAAATTTAAATTTAACTCAAGATGTTGTTTCTAGTCCCTTTGATTCCAAAAATCAACCTTGTGATTTTTACGCCAAAACTCCTTTCTTTAGACAACAAATTCTCTCCAATTTTGCCCAAAGCTAATTTCCACATTACCCCACAAGAAAATCCATTACAAACTTGTAATTTTTCCAATACTTGAGAATAATTAAATCTTGAAAGAAGATAGTTCATCTTCTTCCACTAGTTCCTAACTATTGATTTTGCTTTTTAGAACATACTTGCAGCAGGGACAGATACCACAGCAGCCACATTAGTTTGGATTATGACTGCCCTTGTAAAAAACCCAAGAGTAATGAAGAAACTTCAAGAGGAAATCAGAAACGTGGGAGGTAAAAAAGATTTCTTGGATGAAGATGACACTCAGAAACTTTCTTACTTGAAGGCTACGATAAAAGAGACACTTAGATTGCACCCACCAGGCCCACTACTTGTACCAAGAGAATCAACAGAAGAGTGCATTATTAATGGCTACCGAATTCCAGCTAAAACAATTGTGTTTGTGAATGTTTGGGCTATTCAAAGAGATCCTGAAGCTTGGAAAAATCCTCAAGAGTTTTGTCCTGAAAGATTCTTAGACAGAGCTATAGATTTTCATGGACAAGATTTCGAACTGATTCCGTTTGGATCAGGTCGTAGAATTTGCCCTGGTATAGCTATGTCTGTTGTGACATTAGAACTTGTCGTTGCTAATCTTCTTCATTCCTTTGATTGGGAATTGCCTCAAGGGATGGTAAGGAAAGACATTGATCTTGAAGTGTTGCCAGGAATTACCCAACACAAGAAGAATCATCTTTGTCTTTGTGCCAAGACTATGTTCAATATATAAGTTGGTTGCAAGAACGTTTGACGAACATAATTAACAATCTATCATCTTCTATTTTGGTTTGCGTTATTGTAAGAACCTTGACGTGATTTTAATGTGTAAATCATAATTTTTGATGAATACTTCTAGAAACATATATTGTATAGTTCTTGATGATCTTCGTATACCATTATAGAAGATATATTAAGATATACTCATATTTTAATAAGTTATTAGAATAATTGAGATTCCTCATAAATATTACATACCACATTATATATGTGGTGAAGGTAAGTTTTTGTGAAAATATATTAAATTTAAATTCATTTTTAATATGAATATCAATAAGATTTATCGGACTTATTATGTGAGTATTTATGATTCTATCAAACTACTCACAAATATTTAATATGTATAATTCTTATAAAACAATAAAAAATATTTTAATTTAAAAAATAATAAAATTTAGGTATGTACTACCTAAAATTAATTAAAACAATATAAACGTGATCTTAAACCATAAAACAAATTACATGTACTTTTCTTTTGGTTCTAGATTGGATATTACATAATCACATTTATTAGGTTTGTGAAGTATTCCTTTTTAGTTTTGTTAAGTGGAAAGTCAAATGGTAGTATTTTCTGTGATAGAAATTCACAATCACGAAACATATTTTTTTAAGCATGTAGATTTTTTTTTAGGATTTATTTACTATTATTAGAAAATAAATGTCTTCTTTCTTAACACCAAGAGGGGTGAATTAGTGATTACTAAAAACGAATTTTTTAAAATCTTTTTTTGCAAACTTTGAATGATCTTGAATCTTTCTTGTAATCTAAGTAATACGTTTATGCAATTCAGAAAAAAAAGAAATAAGGAGAGAAGAACAAATACAAGGTTTTTATCCTGGTTCGACTTCAATGCCTACATTAAGTTATCCTTCCAATCAACCTTAGATTGAAGAATCTTTCACTATAATGATTTGACATTTATACCAAAGGTTTTACAGAAAACACCTGCATAGAGAACCACACGCCCTTACTGCAAAACCCTTTGAGACCACCTCTCAAAGTCAAGAACCCCTTGTTCTTCTTCCTGTCATGCATAAACAGGTAACCACAATCCGAGATTGCAAAAACAAGTTTCTAATCAATGTAGAAACACCTAAGTAGTGTAGAGTATGATTAGCCAATTATGTCCACAGTTCTTCTCTCAAGAATCCTTCAAGTTTCTTCCAAATCTTTGAAACTTGGTTTTTAGAGCTTCTCAATCACCTGTAACACTTTTCTCTAATCAAAGATATCAGATATGAAAATTTCAAATGTTCAATTCTTTATTCTTGTTGTTACAGTACAATGAGCAATGCATCAATATATAGTTATCTCATGATAGACGCAGACTAATCGATTACGTTAATAATGTAATCGGTTACATAAATGACATATGTAACAAAATTACAATTCAAACATATTTAATTGAATGCACAATTAATGCAATCGATTTGCAATAAATGCTAGTCAACATATTTAAAAATATGACCGTTAAAACAGTTATGACTTAGCTTTAAAACAGTTTTCAAAACATAATAGAGTTAATTGATTACATACATAGTGTAATCGATAAGCTAAACACTTAAACAAATTTTGAAAACTTTTTCTCATCAAAACTCATCATAGTACATTTCAAAATGATGTATGCAAAGACACAAGTTTTAATCGATTTAACACTTACTGTAATCGATTCAAAACTTGTTGTTTTGCCACAGTTCAAAACAAAAGCTATCTGATAGATTCAATTGATTACTATATCACTATAATCGATTGTATCATACAGAATTGCTTTGTGCTTGATGTTTTATCTCATTAAAAACATTTAGCATGCATACAGAAGATATAAACACATTTATGATCACAATAGTATGCAAACCAATCAACATGATAACTTATGTATTAAACATATAAAAACATATCAAACACAAATACACATTTCTGTTGTGTCATTAGAACATATGTGTGTTTTTACAGTTAATGTGTTGTCATCATCAAAAATCAAAACATCAAAGATTGGGTTCAACACTCATATTGCTCCCCTTATCAACAAAGATGTTCATATCGAATAAATCATTAGAAAGTGTACTAAGTAAAGTATGTCCGCACTCTTGTTTGCATGAATCTAATATTCAACTTGTTTTGAATTTGAAGGGAGACTGATATATATCGGATTTTGGAGATAAAAGCACAGTGACAACTTCATACATGTCTAGAAGGGTAGACCCACATTTTTGCCAATGCCTAAAGTTTTGTCCAGAGAGGACCTCGATTTTTGACATATGAAGAAATTGTTTCGTGAAGATTGTTTGAGTTCCGGGAATGTTGTTTTGATTCTCCAGAATTGGGTTGTTGATGTCAATCATATGTCCTTAAGATTGTTTTAAAAATTGATAATAATCACGAACAATAATTTTCTAAGGCATGTAGATCCATTGTTTTTAGGGACTTATCCGCAGTGTGTTGCATAAGTTTCCGAGTATATACCAGAAATTTCTTGAAAAATTTTAAGGATCACAAAACTAGCATAATCTCTTTTTGAGAAGAGTGAAACCCAAGATATAAAGAGCAAGGGAAGAAAGAAAGAAGAAAACGAGAGGGTAGGCTCTTGAAATATTTTTATGTGATGGAGAGCTCAATTAGCGTTACATGTTTCGGATGTGTAGGGCGGTGCGGTTCCAAGTCTTCCAAGTCTTCCCGCGTTCTCGTCTTCGTGACTGATCTTCTCCTGGCGCTTTGGCTCTCCTCTTGATCCGGAGGGGTGGAGACCTACAAAAGATTCTCCGATGCCAAAGTCAGTTTCAGAGCAGTGGCTATTTTCAGTAGTAGTAATAAATGTGCATTCAATGTAACCTATCTACCACTTACCGTGGACCTGTATTTATAGTTTTCGCTATGGGCTTGGGATTAGTGAAAAGTTAATCACGGCCCAAAACGGCCCGATAGCTTCTAATTTCTACTTACCTTTAAACCAGATTACTTTCCCTTAAATTATGTTGATTAGTGTTTCGGCGGGCGTGGACGTCCGCCCATGTGAAATGGGCGTCAGCCTCGCGCGCACAGAGATCCGCCCGTGTGGGGTCCGCCCATGTGGGCTCTTTGGTATGGCATCCGGTTTTGCTGGCCGTGTCCGCGGGGATCCGCCCATGTGGGATCCGCCCACGTGGTAGTGGGATCCGCCCCTGTGGGATCCGCTGGGAGCGCCGGGAGTCTCAGCCCATTGTGGGATACGCCCACGTGGTCGTGGGATCCGCCCATGTGAGCGCTTCCGTACGGTGCCGGTTTTGCTCGTCGTGTCCAGCCCATTGATATGGGCGTCCGCCTCGTCCGTAGGAGGATCCGCCCAATAGCTTGGGCGTCCTTCACAGGATCCTTCCGTACGGCGTCCGCCTTTGTAGATACACAAGCCCCCAAGTCTAGTGCTCGTAGTGAACGTGGGACTTGGGTCACCTAACAGACAAGATTTGATGCAGTGGCTGTCGTGCCGGGCTGCTCTGTTGATGGTTTAGGATTCTGTGAGTTCTTCAAAGTTTTTTTAAAGAGGTTCGGGCCCGGTTGGTAGGTTGTCCTCCCTGCATACAAGAGGGTTAGGATGAGTTATACCAGGGTTCTAGGTTATTCAACCTTTGGACGGCTCTTCAACGCATGA